AACACTGGGTTAACAGAGTACACGATGCAAGATATAATGAAAGAGCTTGGAAACCTCAAGGTTTCTATTTCCAACGATATAAGGAAACTTTCTGACAATTTTAATGATAGAATGGATAAAGTGGAAGGAGACATCAATTATATAAAATCAGAATTACAACATGAACGCAAACAATTGGAAACAATGCAAGCTGAGAATGAAATGTTACGTAACCGAGTATACAGATCTGAATCAAAGCTGGCATATTTGGAATCACAATCAATGCGTAATAATATTATTTTCATGGCATAGACGAAGCTGAAACAGGCAGGGAATCATAGGAAGAATCTGAAGAAAAAGTGAAAGCGTTATTGAAAGCTGAACTCTATATAGATAATGTAGAAATAGAGCGTGCCCATCGCTTGAACACCCGCTCCAAACCTCGACCAATTGTTGTGCAATGTAGAGGTTACAAACAAAAAGGTCAGATTATTTCTACTGCTGTAAGAAACTGGAAGGATAAGGATTCACGTTACCGGATTACTAACCAATTTCCTGACCGCGTTCGATATGTTAGGAATAAAGTGTTTAGATTTATGAGTAAAGCTAGAAATGAAAATAAACGTTGTACAATGTCATATGATAAATTGATTATTGAAGGCAAGACATACATATATGACTATGAAAACGATGATATTAAATACAAGCAGACGGCCGGCGATAGGCAGTTGGTCGAGGCCCTAAACACGGTAAGACTAGATTTGTGAACCATGAAATAAGTAACAATGTAGCCTACAATAAGAGCAATGTTTTAAGACTATTCTTCTTAAATGTGAGGGGTCTTAAAAGTAAACGAGTATCTAATGAATTTAAAGGTCTAATTTCGAAATATGACATAATTGGTCTTCTGGAAACTTGGGCTGAAACTGAACAATTATCTGATATCTCTGGTTATGTAAGTTTTAATAAACCGAGGAAGAAATTGCATAAACATGGAAGGAACTCTGGCGGGGTAGCTGTGGATGTCAATAATTCCATAGTAAATGGTGTGACTCTGTTAAAGTGTGAATTACAGGACATAATTATACTATATTTACAAAATAA